TGGCAGAGGCAGAAATAAAGGAAGGGCTTAGGGAACTTAAACTTTTACCTTTTGAAATAACAAATGAAAAGAAACCAATGAAATCCAGTTCAACCTTAGAAAATTCTCTATTATTTGCTTTAATCTCCTTGATCACCTCAACAGAAAGGGTTACTCCTTCTGTATAGTTTTGCAAAGTTGTCATGTTCGTAAATATCTAGTCTATAAAATGTACCTTGGCCCCACCTGCCTCCTGTGCAAATTAACCTCCTAGACTGCCCCCACGTCTCGCTCAGAGTACACAGCCTCAGCTGGCTACAGCTGGCACATTCTTCATGCCACCCTCCCTCCGCCCCATCAGATTCCCAAGAGAACCAATCAAAGACAGAGAATGTCAGAGTCAGCAACCTCTATGGTCTTCAGGGCTTCTGCTGGGCTCAGCCGTGCCCATGGGGGATGTCTATTGTGGTCTCAGGAAGAGGCAAAGATTTTTTTAAAAATGTGATTGGAGAAGATAGGGGAAAAAATAAGGGTATGGATAGAAAGATAAGATAAAGAACAAAGAAAGATATGTCACAATTTAGTTGAAGAGGGCCCAGCAATGATCGCTTCACAAGTTGCTCAGTGATCCCTGGGCTGTAATGATCCACCTCCGATGTTCAGCTCCATAAGAGCTTCGGACCAGTGTTAGAACAACAGGATTCGAATGCCCGTGTGGCCCCTGATGAGCTGGTGGCCCTGGGCAGAGCACTGGGTCTGTGCCTCATCTTACACTTGATCACCTTGAAGATTCTTTTGAATTTTAATGGTTCTGTTCGGAGCCTGTGTCTTGTTGAGAACTTGCTTTGGGAATGTTCCTTGATATGATAAGAGAAGCTGCTTGTTTTGTTGTACTAGTGCAGAGGATCTAGGAGTGTGAGCTGGAAGGGGAGACCATCGAAGTTCATTTGTGTAAATACTCAAATAACAGGACCCTCCTAAGTCAAAAGGTTAGCTAATTCGTCAGAGCAAGGGCGCTGTGGAAACCCTGCATGTTAAGGCCACTGAAGTGATGGGCCCCAGGGAATGTCTTGTATCTGTCTCCTCTGCCTTGGGGTAGCATGAGGTGTGGTGGCTGGGACCTTGCAACACATGCAGGGAGCCTGGTTGGGGGCACTGCCGGGACGCTCCATCTCTCCTCCCATAGCCCTTAATGAAGTGAGCCGCCCTTGTCCTCATTAGGCCTCAGCATCGTCGATAAAAGTCAATAAACCCGGTTGATGGGGTTGGGACTGAGGGGCTGAGAGGCAGTGGCCGCAGATCCACGGGGCAGACGTCAGCTCTGCTGTGTGTCATGACCCGGCAGCCAGGGATCGATAGCCGGCGCGGAATAAAGCCCAAAGCCTGCCCTCTGAAGTCTCCTCTCTAGACCCATGTTGCCCAGGGCAGAGCAATGCCAGCCGGTCCCTGCTTTGCTTGCAGTTGTTCCTACCCCATGCCATTCGGGGTGCCAGATGCTCCTGTTTCTTCCTGATTAAGCCCTCTAGACACCCCAATGGATGCATATTTAGTGAGTGCCCACCTGGCAGGAGAACATGGTGATGGCAACTCTAAGAGGCCCAGAGGCTGGCGGAGGCCCTGTTTTCTGTGTCTTCTGTCTGCCGACAGGATGCGAGGGGCCCTGGTGGACCAGGCAGTATATTTCTGCATGTTGTGCTGCCAGACTCCATTC